AACACAGTTTGTACAATTCAAACAAGCTTGAAAGTCAATATTTTGTATGACCAACTTCATTCTTCAGCACAGACTAAACTTTCTTTTTTTCTTCCTTACACCGCTGAGTGAAATGCAACTCCAAAACCATGACTAAGCCTCCATTGTGTTTTATATGGTGGCTGTACACACTCATTGTTGTACCTCTATTCTCATCCACTTCATAATAATGACATACAGCTTTCAAGAATGGCTTCTTTACCATTTTTGACGTGGCTTTGGGAAACAGTGGATGAATTAATTGGGGGCCTGATGCATCTTTCAGGGCATCCACATTCAGATTGGATGAAGGGTTTGGGAGTTTCAGGTCCTAAATATGTGCCACTCTCTTTTTAAAGGCACAAAAGGTAGTTGGACAGTTGAGTCAAAAGCTATTTCAGGTAGGTGTGGGCAATTCCTTCGTTATGTCATTATCCCTTAAGCAGATAAAAGGCCTGAAGTTGATTTGAGGTTTGATTTGGAAGATTTTGCTATAAACAGACAACATGAAAGGAGCGCACCATGCAGGTGAAACAAGCCATCCAGAAAAAAACCATCTGAGAAAGTGCTACAATATTAGGAGTGAGTGACCTGGAAGATAACAGTGGTGGATGATTGCAGAATCATCCACCAAATTTCCCCTTGTGGGATAATTACAGGATTTTTCTAATCATTTCCATGGTGAAGAGGAAACCCCTTCACAACAGCCAACCAAGTGAACAACACTCTCCAGGAAATAGGCGTATCGATATCCAAGTCTACCATAATAAGAAGACTGCATGAAAGTAAATACAGAGGATTCACTGCAAGGTGCGAGCCACTCATAAGCCTCAAGAATAGAAAGGCTAGATTGGACTAGCTTGCTAAAGCACTGAAAGCTGGTGCAGTAAAGGCCTGGCAGAGTATTAAAAAGAAGAAAACGCAGCATCTACTGATGTCCATGGGGTCAAGACTTCAGGCTGTTATTACCAGCAAAGGCTTTTAAAACAAGTATTAGAAACTAACAATTTATTTTCAGTTATTTAATTAGTTCAGTTGCTTTTGACCTGCATTTGAAATGAAGCGATTGTGTTAAGAGCCTTACATTTTTATGCAATCTTTTTGTTCAACCCATTAAATTAAAGCTGAAAGTCTTCACTTCAGCTGCAGTTGTTTCATTTAAAGTTAATTGCCTCTGTACAAATATTTATGGACCTAACTCCTTCTTCTTCTTTTGTCCCTTCTGCAAACTTGGCACACCGTGTTGAGACATTAGTTTTCAGGTCTTTGCTCTTTGGGAATCACTTTGTTGGTGCCAGAACAAACTGTTTTCTCTTTCATGTTTTCCATGGAGTCACCTAAAATGGTAACATATGTGTTTCCATGACAGTTTGCTACTACAAAGTGCCTAAAGATACAACTTAAAATGCTTTGCTAAGTTGTCTGTTACTGGTTCATCCTTGAGTTACTTATGCTGGATAGGTCAAAGAAAAAAAGATTTCCTCCAAAAATGTTCAGGACTAGACTGAAAATGAGCCAAAAAAAAAACATCCAGTGTCCAAAGACAAATCCACAGAAAGCTGAGAAAATTAGTGCTCAAGACTACATTAAAAAATCAAATATGACAGCTTAGAATCAAAATATAAAGAAATGAATTGTAGCCCAAGACCTTTGCACATACATAGCCAATAAGAACTGATTATATAACGATATTAGAGCTATGTATTTATGTTTACTATGGTTCTATCCCCCCCAGAAGAAATTTGCATATATTTATTGTTTGTTATCAGGACGTCAGAAAAGGGGACTCACACTCTCAGACACGACCAGTGTCTGTGTGACAGTTTTAAAGAAAGCGATCTGGAGCTGCAGCTAAATTTAATAGGATCTTTCTTCACTCATGCTCTGCCAGGTTTTCTGAAATTTGGTTACTCGTGTTTGAACAGTATTACTGAGCGACAAATAAAGCCGAAGCACTGAAGCCATACCTCTGCCTCACAGGAATAATAGAATTAAGCCTGTATGTATTCTCTACCAGATGTTCAGGACTGTTGTTTGCTACAAGTAGATTTTGAAAGGTAATATTAATGCTCATTGATTTAGTTTTTTCAAAGATTTATATGTTGATCATATTTGCATTATTGTTTTAGATCTTATATCACAGCATTAGGCCCACAAAGGTTGGAGGTTCACTTTAAACTATCATTTGGTTAATGGGAGGGAAGCGAATATGGATTCTTCAATATTGCAAGTAAGGTGATAGTTCAGTATGGTGCTTTCTTGAAGATGGTTATTTTGGCAAAGTGGATTCAGATTTGAATATATATTAAGCTGATATGAATTATTTTTCACATTAGTCAAGGTGTGAATGGGTATATGACTGCTCCTGTTTGTCCTTTGTTTTAGAGCAAGATTGCATAAAATCTTTCTGGTCAAATTTCGTGAAACTTATTACTGTTTAATAATATATAAAAAAAAATAACTGCCAGAGGCAGATGGTTGCTGTTACTCTCACATTTCAGCTCTTTTTGGCTTTTTACCCACTGGAACTGCAAGCGTAGCTGCTGTCAACTCAAATAAAGCGTTATTTTTTTATCTGACCTGGGTTCCCTGTCTGGACCATGGCGCTGTCTCTTTGCTGGTCAAGTGTGAGATGGAAAAGAAAGGATCACCTCCACCATGAATTTTAGCTGTGATGCCCCTGTCATTGTTAATGTTGTTACTATGTAACCAACCTCTTTAAATGGAACTGTTCATTTCAGCCAGTTGCCGTCACAAGTGATGGGCAAAAACTGTGTAACCAGCAAGTAACCAAGACTTTTACTGAAGAAGAATTTTACTGAGTAGTTCAGTTTTCTTTCGGCACTTTGGTAAGTTGAATAGCTATCCTGCGATAATGCAATTTGATTCTGTGAATACATTTTGTTAAAAAGTATAAAAGGTACATTTAATTTGTAGCATTCCCATATCCTAGAAAGTGGCCACAGAGAGTTGATCAGGTTCTATAAATCTAAACATTGACTGTGTGCATTTCATCCACAAATTTATATCTTTACAGCCAATATGTGATGTTAAGCATTTTATTGAAAATTAATCGAGAGACATTTTTTTCATCTCCCTTGAGATGTTCTGCTAAACCTTAACTGTAGCCACCGTCAGCTTCTTCTAGTTTGTTGGCCATGACAACTGACACACTTATCAATTGCCCAATTACTTTTTAACCTTTGACACTGAGGGTGTGTTAATCAATGCAACACATTTGTTGAAGTCCTGGAATTAAAGCTAAATGTCTGCACTTTAATCTTTCTATATTTTTTGGATTCAACAGTAGTGGTATATGGAGGCAAAAATGCAAAATTTCTTATAGACCTAAGTCTGTTTCTTATTGGTCATAATTTATGGTCAACAAGAAACAGGAGTAAAACATTATTCTTCAGATCTTACACTTTGATAACTCGTTACTTATTCTTCTTTTGACCAAAACCAATCACACTCAAAGCGATTGAGCTCACGGTGTTAAAGGTTGTGAATTAGAACTGCTGTGGGCTTTGGTCCGTTGAGGTACTCTGAGAGGCTTTTGGTAATCCCTCCCCCGTTTCTCGGTTTATTTCCCTCAGCGAAAGGGTTTCTCACCTAAGCCAGAGGTGACAGAGGAGGGCTGAAAACTGCAAGGATGGAGGAGAAAATATGAGCCCGAGTAATATGAGATGGGGACCTTGAACCCTTAAACAGACGGATCTCTACCTTTCTAAGTGATAGTGAACGTTTATCCATAGCTGTTTGCCTTTTGTTTTTAATCTGTGTATTTCTTTGATACTTCCTCCTATGTCGAGCTCCCTCTGTGATTCAGCCCCCTCTGGAGTTTCACTTTGTTTGTGTATAGCGAAATGCTAAACAAAGAACCGAAAGGGGGGTGGGCTGGGGGGCGGGGAGGAAGCAGAACAACAGATTGAGCAGGGAAGATAAAAGAAGAAAGCACCCCGAGGAGATAATAAAAATATCTCACCTTACTCCCTCATCCTCTCCCTCTGCGATAACACCCTCTCCTTTCCTCCTTTTGTATTACTATCACTGACACTGTAGGAATTGTCCTTCACAAAAAGCACTTTATTTGACTGAAGACAAATCATGAAACACTTAAATTTATAAAAGGAAGTAGCAACCATATCTCATCTGACAGTTCTTTACTAAGCAGCATACTTAGATATAATGTAGACTCAAGAATGTTTATAATACAGCCTAAATCTTTCCTTTGATTTTCCCGTCGTCTCTTTGACCTCGTCTGTTTTCCAAAGAGCGGTGACATGTCATCTGACATGGCCTCTCTTGGAGAAAAAACCCCATCCTTCCATCCCTGCCTCGTCCTTATTATCATTGCCTGCTCATAACCACCCCTCGCGCTTTTCATAACAGCCTTCTCTCTGTCATCCCCTTCCCGTTCATTTTTTCTCTCCCTCTCCGTCTGTGCGTCGGCTGGTTTACGGTGGTGACAGTAGATAGTTTTTAATGAGCAGTAAGATGTGGAGCAGAGATCACAGTGAGACAGGACGGCACAGCCTGGCATCCAATTCCCATTACTCATCCATTATTCACGCGCCGATTTTTATCTCTGGGATGAGGACTTTTATTTTGAAGTGACATTCAATTTTCATGTCCCCAATCAGCATAAAGCTGCATTTATTTTGACAAAAGACATCTGTGTCACAGAAAGGGAATTTTTTGTGCAAGGAA